CTGTACACTACGCATTTTCGCCGCTTCAATCCGGCATCATTATTTTTAATGTGAAGTAAGAGTCAGTTTGGTAACATTTTTTGTCTGCAGTATGCAGGCTCGAAGGATGGGTTTTTCTTCTGATATCATGTGATGCGTTGAGAGGAAAGGCCTCCTTATCATGCAGCTTTCCAACTTTTGTATATTCATAATCCGGAGTGTGCTGATCGAGAATTTAACTTCACTTCATGTTAGACCTCAGAAGTCATCTCACCGGAGAGGGGTAATGTGCAGAGTATGAAATCGCAGCTAAGGGAAGTTTTGTTGAGGGTATTTTCTTAGCTTGAAGATTTTTCATGAACGTTTAAACGGTTGACTGACCATGCAGCTGCAACATGGGGACTGACGTTCATGGCAAACCGTTCGATGGGAGGTCAACTCCGACCGAAAGCCCCTTCGGGGTATAGCCTGTATTGATTTTCAACCAAAGCATGCGAAGTCGTCTACTCGCTGAGCGAAAGTTGATCTACGATCTAGGAGCAAGGTGAACGGAAAGTTCAAAAGGTATATCCTCCATTTATATCATAATCGATGTATTATAATCGATGCCTTTTGAACCTGCAGTTCACCCAGCTCATAGATCATAGATCAATTTCCTCCAAGCGGACAGACGGCACCGTGAAAAGATTTCGCATACTTTCGTTGGCAGTCAGTACGAATTGTACTCCCTAATGCTTCCATCATGAGAGTTTTGCAAAACTATACCTCTCATAGGTCGGTTTGCCTTGAACATCAGTCAATCGCCGCTGTTGCCACTGTTTCGTCAGCCAACGGTTTCACGATTCAGGACAGTCAGATCTTCAGGCTAAGGAAATACCTTTCATTGTACCTTACTTAGCTGCGTTTTATGGTTGAACTGATGTCCAATACAGTCTGATTCATGAATGTAAAAAATTTGGAAAGCTGATACCTGTGACATTTAATGTTGTGGTCCAGCGACCGTTACACCGCTGCATTATGAGGACGTCGTTCGTCTCTCGGTGATCAGCGGTACAGAACTCTCCAACGATAACAACGCCTGCCATCGACGTGGTGATTCGAGCCGACAAATCGCTAATGGCAAAACTCATGAAAGCGTGATTTGTTTTTTGTTTGTTAAAAAGTAGCTTTTTTCGGCGACAGACGGAACGTTCGTCCGTGCCTCGGCAGGTGTCGTTCTTCAAAGCGTTTCTGACATGCTTCCGAAGGCGCCTACCGCTGGGAGGAAGTGCTGTTGGCGACTCGAAACGGTGAACACCGTTGTGCGTCTCCAGTTTTTCTCCTCACCCGAAAGCGTGACGACCGAAGAACATATGCTGGCTGAGGTGGCCGACGTTTCAGGTTTCTTGTCCACCAGCAATTCGTGCTGTTCCCGCAGTAGGCGTTCGTTTTGTCGGTTTCGACGGACACATCGCGACGACAGTCAGTCTGTATGGATGGACCCGGAAACAGGAACTTGCTGATTTTATGGCCTCGTGTATTTTTATGGCCTCGTGTATTTTTGTCCACCCTCCCCTCTCCCTCCTCCCCGGAAGGACAACTAGAAAAAACACGATCCGGTTTGCGGCCTTCGCGACGCATGCAAAGGTTGCAAGTTTCGTTAATCAATGACTCTTAGTGTAGTCACGAGAAAGACGTTTCGACAGCCGAAGACGAACGAAACCGACTTTAATTAATCGTGTCGAGGGATGGTGTAAGTTTCCGGTCTGGCTGTAAGGTGATTTTATTTAAAACCTTAAGTTTGAAACAAATCGCTTTGAAACTAATCCGCTTCCGATGTAAACTGAGAAAATCTCCGTCTCGTTCACGGGATCCGTTTTCATTTCATCCGCTCAGTAATTGATTTAAACTTTGTATTAAAGGGCATGCGCCGATTTAAATGAGCTTGCTTCAATTATGTGCTTCTGTGGTTCTTTGCGGTCTTATTAAATTTAAGTTTGCTTTCTGTTATTAAACGTAGCTAATCTTTCGTATACGAAATTATTTCTGTTGTCATCAGTCAGTCAGTTTCGATGACCGCTGATCATTTCCGATCACTGAGTCATCAGCGTTAGACAGCATCTCCAATGTTCCTGATCCTGATCCATTTGACCTGAATCTAAAACAGAGTCCTGCTACACACTTGCCACGAGTTATTCTCGGCCGTCTTCAGGGTTCTCGGTCGGTCGGTTGGGCAAGTCAGTTGTTTCGCCTTCCATTCTGAAAAATGGCGACACGCGCCCAAACCATCGCAACTGTGACTTCTCAATCTGGAGAAACAGCGGCTATCCAGTAGTGTCTTCCCGGATATCTATAGTAGGGATAACGTCAAGCGACTCGTCTCACAATATCTATTTCAGCC